AAGAAATATATCATCCTTACATTAAAATTTTTCCAGCTTGCTTCTTAAACAGTACTGAATAGAAGTAGAAACCCTAACCCTAACCCTAACCCTAACACCTTGCTCAAAGTGGAGTAAAGGGAGATAGTTCTATGTTTCTATATTTGTAGCTGTAATTTGACTTAAGATTAAACACAGATTCATACAACCTCTGTTGATTAAAATCCAAGAGTTACCAACAATGAAGAGAAGTATTCAAAGTCACTTGTGCTATTGCAAGCCTTACTTATATCCAGGATATCTGCAGTGTTTTCAGATTCAGCAGAAAACAAAGGACAAACTTATCTCCATTGTTTGTGTGACATTCTCATTATTTTAGTGAAAGAAAACCACAGATTTCAAAGCAGCTTATTTACAGGTCTTACTCTTCAGTCACTTAAAAAAATGAAGTTGAATCACTGCCTTCCACAGAAACACTAAACTGTTGAAGGGGCCTGGGATTTCCACAAGACCTAATGGTTACTTTTGCTGGAAAAAGAGGAACTGCAGCTTGGTAAAGCTTTTATACACTTATTTTGATTGGTCTAATTCTCTAAATCTGTGTACGTAGGCCTTACCTACAGCAAGCAATGTCTCGCTGCCACTTTTAGCAAGATTGTGCGACTACTCATTTCAGTCTCCTGCAGATCTTCCCGTGTATGTAAAGTGGACCTTCCTTGTAACCTTCCACTGCTCAGAAACACAGAGGCTGCAGAAACACAAGAAGATCCTGCACTCTGCATTCATTCTTCACTTTCCTAAATTAAGCATATAATGATAGCTGAAATCCTGCATGCATGATTGGTGTACTGATAATAAAAAAGCAGCAAAAATAGGGCAAAAAAGAGTAGAATATGCAGCTCTTCTTAAGGACATTTATTGTTACTTCTGTAATCTTGGAAAACCATTTTAAGACTGCAGAAGAGCACAACAGCAAAACAGAACAGGTAATGGGTTTGCAAAACGTAGTAGGCCAACTCCTTTAAAGTATGAATCACATAAAAGATGATGAAGCAGTAAAGGAAGAAGGCGTATTGGTTCGAGGGCTGGACTAGGTTTTGGAGTCCTTCATTGACTTGCCGAAAAAGATACACATTATGTCACACATCCACTCCATGCTTCTCTGAGCACACCTGGCCCTCTGGCACGCTGAGTTCATGAAAAGTTGCTGTGAGATAAGCCAGCATGTGAATAGAAAGCACATCAGCTTTGCTGTGTTCAGTGGCAAATGTCACATCCCCACCAGACCCATAGCATAAGTTAAGCTTTCTCCCTTTGAAATGAAGGTGACTGACCTCATCTTTACTGTAAGAACAAGCGTGCAGGTACACAAAGCAGGTCATGTGAAGTGAGTGCACATCCACGGTAAGGCTTTAGAGCATCTGCCTCTACATCTGTGGAATAAACTGTTGCCTATGGTTTTCCACTGTGTGGCCATTTCAGACCTTTACACATGTTCATGGGCAATCTCTCAGGTCTTCATTGAATAAGAAAATACAGTAGTTCATTTGTTTAATCCAGATGCATGTCAGTAATTTAGCAAAATATATATTGGACCTGATCCTCACTGTTTTTCTCTGATAGAGCTTCACTGCTTTCATTGGACCTGCATTTACTTCACATAATTGTGAGATCCTATCCAGGCCTATGGCTTAGCTGTATGAATCAATCAATCAAGCAAGCAAGCAATCAATCAAGCAATCCATCCCAGCAGAGGCAATGCTTTGGGATTTGTAGCTGAACTATTCACACACAAGCTACCGAGTTTAAAGAGAGGTGGTGCACTTCAGGGTTCTATCAGGTGCTTCTTCATACACCAAGTTACTTGGGTTTGAAATGTTCCTGAACAGTTTTGAGCACAGATTTTGTGGACATCAGTGTTTTTTGTTAACTCCTCTGCCTATAGGAGCTGGAATAGCAGGTGTTCTGCCTGTGCAATGTGGTTAATTTGCAGCAACTTAGGGTCCAGCTTTGATCTCTTCTGCAGGCAAGTAGTGCCTCTAGTGCAAATCACTCGTGGATAAGAGAGATGCAGAGTCACAGATGGTCAGAATTCCTTGTTGTCCTGCTTTTAATGGGCTGTCAGAGTGAAGCTGTGGAGTTTTATCTAATAAATGTTTCCTCACATCTCTGCAGGTGATCTGAATTTAATTTTGCATCCATCTCCTGTTGCCTGACCTGGTGGAAGTGAAGGCTGAGTTCTGTTCTACTGCTTTTTTCCCTATGCTTCACTGCACTTCACAAAGGATCATCAAAGAGCTTGAGACAGATGCTGGGTTCTTGCAGTCATCTGGGTCAGGCAGATGACTTCCGTAGTTCAAGGTGAATGCCAGAAGATCTTTTCCTGTCATCAGTCGTAGCTATTCTACTTAGGAGCTACTCTCAGGGAGCTACTCTGTCTTGGGAAAGAGGTGGAGATTCAAAGAGCTTCTGAAGGTGTAGGTGTCTTTTTTTGCTGAGTAATTCAACTTTTGGAACTTGCTGCAGGGGATATAGTTGCAGATGATGCTGGTCAGGGTCCTGAGCTGGACCCAGACTTTGATGTGAGTGCAGATAATGCCTGTGGTTTCATGAGGGGAATTTCCTGAGGGGGTGGAAGGTCACCAGTGGGTAATAGGAGTGTGGCCTGAAGGAGGCCTGGGGAGCTCTGAGGCTGCTTCTGTTTGGTGCCTGGTGATCCCAGGCTGTGGTGCCAGGCAGGGACGGATGATGCACAAGTAGGTGGGTGAAGGTCTGGGCTTTCTCTGCATTTACCACCCTTCCAGCTGCTTATTTCTAGGCCTAGAACCTGTTCTCCGAATGGCTTTTATGCACCAGGAGAAGGCAGTGGTGGTTCTTAGTGAATTTAGTAACTAAGTGGACTTCTACGGTTGTGGCACATTTCCCCTGTCCTCCAAAGTTACTCCCCTGAAATGTATTTATCGGATCAAATAGGAAATTTGATCCGATAAATACATTTGATCCAATTTGATCCTTTGCTAGAGGATGTAGGAAAGCTGCTAGGATGACTAAGGCCTCCTTGGAATTAAAGCTGGCGAGAGGGGTCAAGGACAGCAGAAAGAGCTTTTTCAAATACATGGCAGGTAAAACTAACACCAGAGGCAATGTAGGCCCGCTGATGAACGGGACGGGTGCCCTGGTGACAGAAGATACAGAGATGGCAGAGTTACTGAATGCCTTCTTTGTCTCTGTCTACTCTGCCGGAGGCAGTCCTGAAGAGCCCTGTACCGCTGAGACCTCAGGTGAAGATAGGTCAACGGAGCGGTTTGCCTTAGTCGGTGAGGAATGGGTTAGAGACCAGTTGAGCAATCTGGACATCCATAAATCCATGGGTCCAGATGGGATGCACCCGCGGGTGCTGAGGGAACTGGCGGAGGTCATTGATAGACCGCTCTCCACCATCTTTACCAAGTCTTGGGAAACGGGAGAGGTGCCTGAGGACTGGAGGAAAGCAAATGTCACTCCTGTCTTCAGAAAAGGGCAAGAAGGAGGACCACGGGTAACTATAGACCGGTCAGCCTCACCTCCATTCCTGGGAAAGTGATGGAACACCTTATCCTTGGTGCCATCTTAAGGCATATCAAGGATAAGAGGGTTATGAGGAGCAGTCAACATGGCTTCATGAAGGGGAAGTCGTGCTTGACCAATCTCGTAGCCTTTTATGAGGAAATAACACGGTGGATGGATGATGGCAGAGCGGTGGATGTGGTCTACCTTGACTTCAGCAAAGCGTTTGACACGGTCTCCCACAGCATCCTCGCAGCTAAATTGAGGAAGTGTGGTCTGGATGATCGGGTAGTGAGGTGGACTGTGAACTGGCTGAACGAGGGAAGCCAGAGAGTTGTAGTCTATGGGGCGGAGTCTAGTTGGAGGCCTGTATCTAGTGGAGTGCCTCAAGGGTCGGTACTGGGACCAGTATTATTTAATATATTCATCAATGATTTACATGAGGGAATCGAGTGTACTATCAGCAAGTTTGCTGATGACACTAAGCTGGGAGGAGTGGCCGACACGCCAGAAGGCTGTGCTGCCATCCAGAGGGACCTGGACAGGCTGGAGAGTTGGGCAGGGAATAACTTGATGAAATATAACAAGGGAAAGTGTAGAGTCCTGCATCTGGGCAGGAACAACCCCAGGTTCCAGTATAGGTTGGGGAACGACCTGTTAGAGAGCAGTGTAGGGGAGAGGGACCTGGGGGTCCCTGGTGGACGACAGGGTGACCATGAGCCGACACTGTGCCCTTGTGGCCAAGAAGGCCAATGGCATCCTGGGGTGTATTAGAAGGGGGGGGTGGTTAGTAGGTCAAGAGAGGTCCTCCTTCCCCTCTACTCAGCCCTGGTGAGACCCCATCTGGAATACTGTGTCCAGTTCTGGGCCCCTCAGTTTAAAAAGGACAGGGACCTGCTGGAGAGAGTCCAGCGCAGGGCAACTAAGATGATTAAGGGAGTGGAGCATCTCTCTTATGAGGAAAGAGTGAGGGAGCTGGGTCTCTATAGTGTGGAGAAGAGGAGATTGAGGGGTGACCTTATTAGTGTATATAAATATATAAAGGGGGAGTGTCACGAGGATGGAGCCAGGCTCTTCTCAGTGGCAAACAATGATAGGACAAGGGGCAATGGGTGCAAACTGGAACACAAGAGGTTCCACTTAAACTTGAGAAGAAACTTCTTCTCAGTGAGGGTGACAGAATACTGGAACAGGCTGCCCAGGGAGGTTGTGGAGTCTCCTTCTCTGGAGACATTCAAGACCCGCCTGGACACGTTCCTGTGTAACCTTATCTAGGTGTTCCTGCTCCGGCAGGGGGATTGGACTGGATGATCTTTTGAGGTCCCTTCCAATCTCTAACATACTGTGATACTGTGTGAAATCAAAATTGCATTTAACTTGATCACTTTGAGTCTCACATTACCTTGATGGTTTATAGAACCAAACAAAAAAAAAAGGGCGGAGGAGGGAAGATTGTAGGTCAGATTTTAACGGAAAAGATCAGCTCATAGCAGTTCAGTGTGCAACATGGAGACACCAGGCTACACTGTTTTACAGATAACTATCTGCATTGCTGTACATACTCGAGAGATATTCTCGACTTGTTGAGGAAGGACTGAATTCTTAAGAATGGCTATTCCAGACTCTGCTTTTTCATCTTGTGATGGTGACTGGGAACTTCTCCCTAGGATGTCAGAATGGAACAAAATTATTAGGCAAAAAATAACATGGAGTGATCTGAACCACTGATGGAATACAAATGAGAGCAGACAGTAAAACCACATTGTCTGCCAGGAACACGGTGAAATAATGACATGTAAATGCTTACATCGTTAATCTAGGCATCAGCAGCTTTCCCTGTTCCTTTATCTGTAACTATTACAAAAGTACTTATCCATTATGCTGCCACAGAAAAAAGCATCTCTCTAGTCTAACTGAAGGAGATAAAGTGTGAGAGCATACTTGTGGATTTGAAAGCTTTAGGTCTTCCAGCTCACTGGACATTACCTCCACTTATTAATGTGTGATAGCTATCTTAGCCCATTATTTATGTTCACCAATGACTGACTTACAGACCTGGTTTTGGAGCAAGACTCTGGAAGACAAAATTGACAATTAGTGTAACAAAATAACAGAAACTGAAAGCTGCTGGGAGATTAAGAGAGACAAACAGGAGAAATTATTTTTCATTTTTCAACCCTAGCTCCAGAACTTCTGAATGCAGACTCCAGATCACTCTCCTCCGATTCAGATCTATTCTCTCTGCCCAAATCCTGAGGCTCAACATTATCACCTGACTGCCACCTATATCTTTGTTGGTCTTGACTTTTTTTGACTCTGACAGTGACATGTTGAAAGGCTTCATTTGTACTCTCTGCTTCACTTTCAGATGTACATTCACTGTCTGGATATGGACAGCGAAATTCTAACCTTCCTGAGGCTGCTCTTCTGGCCAATTGATTTACTTCAGCTACAGAACAACGACAAAATTACCAGTTTGCACAACAGAATCTGGACCTTCAAGCATTCCCTCTGTTTCATCGTGTCTGCAGACTTGGAAATGCTGAAGTTATAGCCTGTAAACTCCTTCATGAGGGAGAAAGCTAAAAACTTCTTTCTGTTTGAAAGAAAGCTTAAAACCTGCGTACGTTGTTATGGGTCTTTACATGAACTATTTTTGGTAGTCTCCATTCTCTATTATTCTTGCCTGTACTGCCATCCACTGGTCATGGCTATACTACCCTGTTTAAATTCATACACTGTTCCTCCCTTACATCCTCCGAAACAGGGCTAGAAATTCCTTGTGCTTTATAATCAAACAATCTTAATGTGGTTGTGATTATTTTATGCCCTTAATGCGCAAGACACAGTATCCTACTCATCTGGTTTTCATCCAAGCACAGCCTAGTACAGCTTTAGCTATTAAGGCAGATAGACCTTTCTTAAGTAACAAAATGTGTTAAGTTTTAATGCACTGCAGTAAGACTTGCTAACATTAATGCCAAGCTAACACTGATTTACTTACTCCTCCATTCTGATTGCATCATCCTTCTCTCCTTACTTATTTTTGTACTGTAAATTTCACACCTTGATTTTGGATAGCACCTATAATGATAAATTGTGAAATGCATCAAACTCTGTTAATGCACAAGTGTGCTGCATTAATTATTCCCCAGTCAGTAGAAGACTAGAAGTTGGTTTAATGTTAACTAAAAGTCTGAGAGTACACGTGTTCCAAGAACCCAGTAGAACTAGCTGATTGAGGCATCAGAAGCTTAGAAAGCACAGCCAGTTATTTAGATCTACTATAGGTTAATAAGACAACCTGTACATTAAAATCTAGATTTCAAAAGCTGTCAATGGCCTTCGGATGATACATCTATATAAACACTAACAGACAGCAAATGCTACGTAGATGTGTCTTATTCAGGTCAATACGGTGATAAGGGGACAACTGATGATACCCAGAACTTCAGACTTGTATATCAACAACCCTACCACCAACCTGATCACGACCTATAGTTCCTTCACTTCAGCTAACCACGTTATCTGGAATATTTATGTTCTAATCAAGTATATCCTTCAGTTGGTCTTACTGATCCAACAGGGTCATGAATCAACTTCAAAATTGCAACAGTTTTCCCAACCGATTTGACCCAAATATTGAAGGAGATGCCTGTCCCCAGCTTTCCAACTAATAAGATACGTTAATTTGCACAAGTTTTGACAGGTACTTTTCACATGTACTTTCCACCCACACGTAGAAATACATAGAGGCAACGTTAAAAAGCACAGCAAACAGAAAAAAAGTAATGCATGCTCTGTTGTCACTGGGTTTAACACGACTGTTTTACTCCCACAGCTCCTAACATAGGTCCCAGTCCTATAGCTATGAAAACCAAAGTTTTTCTACTGAGCATTGAATGAGACTGTGCAGAGCGAGGAGAACTACGCTTACTAGTAACTTACTAGACTGCTCTCCTTAGGCACTGTTGCAGTTTTGGACCACTGACCTCCATCAGAGAGGCATCTGGAATCTATTTGAACACCACTCTGCCTGATGCTGCAGCAGTCACCCTGCCAGTTCTGCAGCTGACAGTGACTCACAGTAGGGTCCTGATTGGACAGATGGAGTTGCCTTACTGAAAACACATTCAATGCCATCCTTGATCCTAGATGTGCCTACTTTGGACAGTGACTGTAATAAGATAAATCTGCTACATTATTTTTTCTGTGAATATGATCAAAACTCACCACCTCTCTTCTTCACTTCCACTTGCCGCAGAATGTGAATCGCCTCCTCTCTGACACTGCAAATTGGACTTTGTTTTGCTTCTTACAGACAAATGTGGGAATAAATTCTGAAATGGGTCCAACAAGTCCTGATTCAGCACATGCCAGGCATTCTGGTAATTACTAGCTGAGCTGTCTAGGAGATATACTAAGAATTGCACTGTGCAAATTTTATTCCCTAGGTTATAGTTTAGTAGCACTGCCCATGAGAAAGGATATCTCCAGGCCTCAGCCTAGAAAAACTCCATTCTGGATTTATAGCAGGTTTCATATGTACACAGGCAGGCTATCACAGGGAATGAGTGGACCTAAATGACTCAAGATTATTCCCACCGCAGATAAGTACATACATTTTTCTCTTTCTCTTTGGGCTAAGCATAGCAGCTGCTTATATTTAACAATGAAAATGATCTAGAAGCCCTTATTAATGACACCTTATGATCTCTACAATAAGTATGGAGATAAATGTAAATGAATTATATCCATAATTAAGTATACAAACAAAAATCTCTGCTTGCCCTTTTCCCCAACAGTCCCATCTCGATTTTAGAACAGGATTTTATCCCCTCCTGAGCCACTGGATTAGTTATTTGCTGCGGATGAGGGGTGGGGAGAAGGAAGAAATAATACTATTGCTCTGCTGACCTGACAATTTTCATTCCTACGACGCATATGGCATGTGCAATACTGTAAACAACAGATTCATCCCTCCTTTTTGACACCATCCCTAACTATGTCTCTTCATCTGCTAAGGAATAAAGGATTGATGAAAACAATCACCCTACTCAACCCTTTACCTTGTGGTCCAGACTCACTTGATCATCCTGTATTTTCATTGCAATAATGGTGGTATCATGATGGCTGTTTTCATTTTTACTCTTATTCATCTCATGAAAGCACTTCCACTTCTCATTTTGAATTGTCTCCGTTGCTTTTGCTGTCTTTGAAACAACTTGGAAACCACTTTCACTCAATGCTCCTTGGGCCTGACATGTTACTACTGGTGGAACATAGTTTCTTGATGGTGGACCTACAGCCTTCCGTGAGAAGGTATTAACTCCGGAAAAAGGGTTGTCAGTATTTTGGAAAGTACCATCAGATCTGTCAGAGTGTCCTTGAAAGTTTTGCTTAGAAAGCCGATTCATTCTGACTTCCTGGAGCATCTTGTTTTGGTTTTTAGTGGCCTCTGATTTGTCCAGTTTTTCCTCTAGCCTGCACAGGGAATCTGATATCTGCTGCACCATGCTTTGAGATATCTTTACACTAAGGACACATTTGCTGATGTGCTGATCAGTTCTGGACATACTCACCAGTCTCCCAGCATCTCCCACCTGTGCCAGTTCAGAGGCCTCACTCGTGCTCTGCTGGGCTTCTGTAGAGTACTCTGTATCTGATTCTGAAAAGCTGTCTTCCCCATAAACTGGCTTTTCCTCATAGTGCACTCCAGGGGATGCAGACACATCTTTGAAGCTAGCCTTATCTTCTTTGAAGGTAGCCTTGTTTTCTTCCTTTCGCTGCCTTTCTCTGTCCTTTAGAGTTTGACTTAATCCAGCTCCTTCTTCCAGGAAGTCTCTGTGAAGTTCTGGGAAACTGGCAAGGATTTTATTGATTTCAAAGCTACAGAGGCTGTCAACCTCATCACTGACACTTGGGGTGATCTCAAGTTCAGAAGGCACATCCTGATTTTCATTCTGTGCAACTGTCTGTAGAGTGGTTGGTGCCTCTTGGGGCACTAAAGCACTTTTCTCCTCAGGAAAAACAGAGTATATTGGGGAAGTAGAGCTGCCTGGGAAAAAAATACATTAATAAAAAGAACAATGGAGAGAGATTTTAGATGTGAAGCCGTTTCTCCAGATGTCCAAACACCGGTTTTGTACAATCAGGAATTCATGTCTTTTGTAGATTACATGAACGGCATTTAACACCTCTGCTGAAAACATGCCTAAACTTCAAACATTAGCTAGATTTAGTCTTGAGTTTACATTAAGGGTGGCAGCCAGAACACAAAGCTAACTGCTTTCTATTTCCAAACTATATCAGAAAATCTGTAAGTGCTCAAATTTTAGTTATTTATGTAAGACCTTTATGGACCGAGGAACACGCTAAGTGAAGGACACATGACATCTTCTAAAAGAAACTCACCAGCCTTGGTTCTCTCTTTTCCCCAAAATTCCTGTGTTTTATTCTTGCTTCTTACAGGTGATACCAAACAGACGTTCGCATCTGCAAAACCAATGGGTCTCTGTGCTTTTGGCATTTCATCAGCATGACCAGTTTGGGATTTAAGTAAACCCTGTAATACAAAAAACAGAATAAAAGATAACTACATTCGACAGTTCAATGTCTCTACCTTCTCTTTGAAGGTGGCCTGCCTCCATAATCAGTAAAGGATTGTTTGGATTGTCTCCCACCTAGATTTAAGCAGACCAACTTGAATCTGAATGGATACAAAACTGCTGGTTTAAATACATGACAGGCTAGAATCCTGGAAGTCACCTTTAAGCCATTTTGCAGTATATATTGAATATCCTGAAGATTCATGGAGCGGTTCTTCTGTTTAGGTTCCAGCCCTGACTTTACGATATCGTAGTAAGGCACAGGAAGTCTAACATCTGCTTCTAACTGCTCTCCTGAAATTATGAGCTCTTTAATAACTGAGTCTTCACAACCCTCCCAGGGAGGGGTCTCTGCAAAACATAAATACAGACTTCATGTCAAAAGCTGTATATCGGTGTTCATGAAAACAAAGAAAAAAGAAAAAAAGGTAAAAAGAATCAGATACTGAAGCATTATTACCTGCACATTCCCTAATTTACAACTACTGTCTCACTAACATTTGGGGTTTTGCCTGGAGGGTTCCTTTTCCAGTTAACTCTGTACAAGCCATCACAGCAAGGTTTCATCCGGTCACACAGAGGAATTAGACATTAGGGGCAGACAGTCTGCACTGAAAACATTTGGTGGCTTACCCAAGTGACAAAAGTCTGACCCTGCAGATATACCTGTCAAGGCCTCCTGCACTACTGCACAGAAGCTGTAAATATCCGATTTGACTGTGACAACTTTTTCAAGGATTACTTCAGGAGAGCACCACTTATACAGCTGCACTGGGACAGGAATACGTGTCAGATCACTGTGTTCTCCACCATCTTTGCTGTATAAAGGGAAAAAAGTTGTAAATTGGGATGTACAACACAATCAACTAGAAGGTATATTGGAATTCTGGATTTTGGAATTCAAACACCCGAGTTTGTTGTATCTGCTTTTAGTTTAAATACCTAAAGGGTCCAGAGTGTATCCTCAAATAAAACCTGTAGTATTTTCACATCAATAAAATGTATTCTGACACACTGCAGCAAAGACTTTCTGCTGAAAGTAACACCTGCTTTAACAAATTTACACTCAAAAAGACATCGGAGAAAGCCGAAAATTTCCCAATAGGAATTTTACAAGCAACCCCTGAGCTCTGGCCAGTATTGTCCGACTGTGGACAAAACATAAGAAGGTATCACCTGGCCTGTCAATGTTTATTTTGCCATGTCTAGAAGGTAATTTCCTCCTCATATTTAACTATAAGGGTTTTGTTACTTATTTCACAGCAAGCTGTATCTGAAATAGACAAGAAATGGACAAGATTTATTAATAAACTGAGTTCACAAGGAGGTTAGGAAGTACCTTTGCTCCTTTCAGGGCATTACGATCAGCAAATTTTTGTTTATTATCAATTTTACTCTTTCTTTACAGTCTAACCAGCCACTTACTTCCTTTCTAATCAGACTGCGCTACAAGAAAGAAGTAATAAAATGTATATAAGTAATAATCTACCAAGATGAAATAGTGTCCCTCATAAAAGAAATTTTGTTTGTCACAAGTGCCATTTAATTACTCCCAGTTCCATGAAGTGTGGAATCTTCAACCATTTAGGTAAGTCTCCAAAAACACAAGTTGAGGATAACAAAAGGACACTTAAATTATTTTCAGCCCAGCAGCAGAATTAATAACTCAAAATGGAATTACATCTCTGGTCTGCAAGATTAGATTCTATTTCTCTATGACGATGTTTTTATACTGCAGTAAAGGGCTGCTTCTCTTACTAGTTTCTATTTTCAGATACAACACAGAAACTAAGTCCCCCTGAAGCTCGTTGTACTGCCTGTAGCAAAGGTAATGTACCTGAGCAGTAATAATTTACTCCAGTAACTCTGTTACCTAACCCAGAGGCAGGACTCCCTAGTTATCAAGAGGGGCACTTCAGCAGAATTTCATACTAGATTTACTCGTGTTTGTTCCTTTCACAGAAACAGTGAGGACACTCTTTACCTCTCTATCATGTATTCCAAGTTGCACAGCTTTGCCTCACCAGAAGAAACAATCTGAATAGCGTATGAGGTAACTGAACGGTGGATAAATCCACGGTAGTGTAGAAAACGCAAAGCACTGATAATTTGAAGCAGCACATGCAAAATTATCTCCATGTACAGTACTGGGAATTCTGTACGCTGGAATAAAACCCGAAAGTACCAAATTAATATTGAAAATAAAACACAAACCAGTTGATTAGAAAAAAGGAAAAAAGCACAACTGAGTTCAAACCTTTGCTTTTATACACAGGCATTTTGCAATGTATTACATACAAATACTGCCACATTTACAGTCCACAGTGACATGCAGAAAATTAAAAGCTCAGCCATGTTGAGACTGACACCAAACAAGAATATCAGTGCAACTGCACCTAAACGCTAAGTGAACTATTTGCCAGTTATAAATTTTACCAGGTTACAGAGTACCTGGTACTGTGCAAAGAATCAGAAACCTGGATATGCAGACTGGCAATTTTGTCTTCTTATTCTTTGAGTAAAGTTGGCAGATGTAGTTACTAAACTTCTTCCTCTCAATTAACTACTGTTTAAAAAATAAGTAGTCCAATTACCCTTTCATGAAGGATACTGTACAGAGAACCAAAGTTAACTCTTTCATATACCAAACGGGTTTTCTCCAAGTCACTAGACAGACACACAGCCATCAACTGTAGGAAATGAGGATGTCTGAGTTTACTGCAAAGGGGGGGGGGGGGGGGGGAGGAAAAGTAAGGGAAATCTGAGATTAAAAAAGTCCTGGCTTTCTAGATGTTTTTGATCAATACAACATGAATGCTTCTAACTTTTCATTGAAAAACACCAAGTTTTAAAAGAACCATAGATTAGGAGGCACTTAGGAAACAATGCTTATTGTCACAATTAGAAGAATCTATAAATAAGCCATCCAAGCAAAGTGCAATAAAGCATTCACCCAGACATATGAGAAGAGAGTATTATCCACTGGGGAGCAAATGGAACGGAAATAGGCAGGAGAAGAAAGAGACCTGTATTACTCATTTGGAGAGCAAGGACAACCACAGTCCTCCTGAGCTTACATCGCTGGAGACACCCAAACCCCAGGAGCACTTGTGGCACATTCTCTCTTACCAGCTGTGTTCCTGCTCTGCAACAAGAAGATCAGCAAAGCGCAGTTTACTGCAGCTCTGATGGGGCTCTAAGCCCAGTTCCTTCACTGTAACTCTGCTGCCTCCCCACATTAAGCTACAAGAAGAAAAGGAATTTCTGTGAGATGTTTTCTGTGGTATTTTTTCCCAGTTACAGGGTTACTTATAAATAATTCTGAAATGCTCTGGTTGTGCCTCCTTTTGTTAGTAACATCACTCTGACAACCCCAGCTATGGCGTATCCTTTTTCAAACTGACAATAAATTCTCATCCAGTTAAGGATTGGATGCAACAGGCCAGGTTTGCTGTCCAAAGACACCACCCTTCCATGACTCAAGGTAAAGAACAAGGTCACTTTAAAACTCCCCCCTCTAAAGGCCATCAGGCTACTGTGATACAAGCCAGAGCTTTGGGAAGCTTAAATCACCAATTTCTCAGGTCTCTGGGTGCCTCTGAGGCACAACTATTTGCTACACAATACAAAAGATTAAAAACCAAGAAGATTCAGTCTGAACTTTCAACTCATTTCACCACAGGTGTGAGCAAGTACGCTGCATGACATGCATATGCAGAGGTCTAAGGTTTGATCCAACAATTACAAGGACTCAACACTGAACAACACAACCTGTGCAATCCCAGCAACCCATTTCCCATCCCAAAAGGAGTAAGTACTGAAACGTTGCTATCAGTGAGTAATGATAATTGGGTTAGTATGGATGGAAAGGACCAGAGCAACCTACACATGTTGAGGGAATCTAAAGAAA